AATTTTCTTTCAAAATCGTTTAACGAGAAACGAAGAGCTTTCTTTCCTGATTCCCTTCTGGTATAATTATATCATGAAATTCCGAGAACTTTCTTTCCAATCAGATACTTGTAGAGAGACTCCACCCATCAATTCGTAAAGAATTACTGGAGAAGGAAGCTGAAAGGAATTATGCATCTGGGAAGCGCTTTGTCGATGCTGATCCTGGCTCTTCCGCAGGAAAATGTTCAGTGAGCTGCAGAGTACAATCTGCCTCACTCGAACGACGCCTTATTAAAGCGCTAAATGTCAGTCTTGTTCTATCATTCCAGGAGGTTCGTGTTGAACTGGTCACCCGAAGCGGTCGGCCCTTTAGCTTTATGGATCATTAACGCTTCTGAAAAAGATAGGATACAGTCATTTTGAACTATTTATGCCGAAGAAATCTGTAGAACATTTTCTCCAAACTAAAAGGCTCCCTGCCTTAGAGAAAGAAAATGTCAAGAGCGTAACTTGCTCATCCTTGCAACCCAAACTATTACAACGGAAAAGCTCAATTTGGATTTCGCTTCATCATGAGTTTATTCCATGCATCTATATTGATGACATCCTTTTGGCGCGTAGGAAGTGGGAGTGATTTGGTATTGAATAATATCACTCTGACTTCCGGTAAGTGAGGCAGAAAACGTAGAAGTGCAACCTCACCTAAAGGCCCAGAAAAAAAGTAACGCAATTAGTGATATAATTATACCAGAAGGGAATCAGGAAAGAAAGCTCTTCGTTTCTCGTTAAACGATTTTGAAAGAAAATTGGAGCAATAATTCATATGATCCGGGATGGAATTTTTCCTTTCCTACTCATAGGAAATCACAGTGCATTCCATGTGACAAGATTCAGGAGCTGACATTGGATCGTGAGAGGTAATTAAAACCAATTCCGAAGGCCTTCAAATCCCTGCCCGTGATACCGAGTTGAAAGCGCGTGGGAATCTAGGAAAAACAATGTAAATAGTTTAACGAAAATGAGAGAATATAATCTGATTAATGAGTCATGGCTTAATCTGCTAATAATTTGGAAGTAAGCACAATTGAACATAGCTTTTAACGTTAAGATTCGTTTCTATTTCGTTTCTGTTTCTTTTCATTCCGTTTCTGGTTCTGCTTCGTTACAGCATAGCATTTCGTTTGTTTCATTTCTTGTTTCGTTTCCGTTTCGTTACCCAGCCCCGGCGTTGAGCCCACATTGGGCCAATATCGTTCCCCAACTTTCACGTTCCGTCAAGGTTTCCCACCTTTACCCAATGTGGGCCCAACGTAACCTGTTATCTGGGTTGGGCCAACGTGGGCCCCATGAAAAATGTTATCTATGTTGAGACAGAGAAAATCCGCCTGAAGGAAGCCTGCTTCATCCGCCGGAGCTTCGAACAAAGGCATTATCATTGTGAATCCTCGATAGTGGAAAGTTTTTTTTAAACTTTTTTTTTTTATATAACTCGGATTCACGATTGAGCAGAAGTTGCTTGTTAGAGGTGCAAGTCGTAGACCAACTCGACAACTGTGCCGAGAGCGTCGGGCATTATGGCCGCCCCCACTTGGGATCAGTCCTCAGCATGTTGATCTCAATTTGGGCTTAATTTATTTAACTTGTTGGCCTGAAGTTTCTTGAGCATCTGATGCCCACTGTCGTTTCTGCGTTGTTGCGAAGGTAAAATGAGTTTCACGAGCGACGAAGTCAATTTCCTGGTTTATCGTTATCTCCAGGAATCGGGTGAGTTCTGGTTCTCTGTATTTCTCAAACTGGGATCAAGGAGGGTCACTTTTCCCCCCTTTAGTTTTATTTTTTTATTTGCAAAAACAAAGGGAATAAATTAAAAATAATTAGAGGCAGGCCTATTGCCCCCCTTAAACATTTTCAGTTGGACCTTGCTGTCACCTTGTTCTACTCACTTCAGTACCGCAAGGTTTATGATTAAGTACGTACCCCCTAGGGATATTGTGTTACCTCTTGCGTTAGGCCAAGCCAGGTTAGGTTAGATTGGTGGATATTACAAATAAAAGGAAACCCAATGGATGTGGCATGTTTCCAGTTTATACATCTGGAAACATTGGAGACAGGGAAGTGCAATTTCTCTGGGGGTATCTGAAGTGCAAATTATGTATGGGAGTTGTCTAGAGGCAGATCTGCTGGCATTCCTTCATCTTGTGCACACCTTGTTTTGTACAGTGCACGATGCTAGAGGTGATGTTAGTTAGTTATGGTGTTGTATGTGTATACTACAACCTATGGTCATCACTTCAGAAATGAGTGCTGTTCTCCCTGACTCCCATGCAGAACATGCTGCTCAACGTAATGGTGAACATGTATGTGTAGACACGCTGAAGTTTTTTGACCAGAACAGTACTCAGTTTCCGCTGCACTGAACGGTGGAAGTATCATTCCGATGGTGAGTAAATAGAGTGGCCATATCGGAATCACAGACTACCATTTTTTGGTGATTAAGAACTATGAAAATCCCACTTCTGGTGCTGCATGAACACACTTAAGCTTACATAAGCAAGCGTTGTGTACCACCTTCCCAATCTTGGATGAGGTGAAGGTGATAGTGCAAGGGAAGTGATAGGGGTGAGGGGGAAGTCACCCTATACATGAACCAGTAAACTCCTTCCAGCTCAGGCACAGGTTTCTTTGTGGGAACAAATTTTCCTTAAATGCCAGAGTTCAATAGCTACTAATGGAGTTAGGTGTTTTGTGCGCATGAAAGTGTGAGTGGGGAGTGCCAGTGAAAAGAGAAACTTGTTCATTCCAACAAAGGGCTAGACGTTCAGGTATGCCGAATTTGAAGTTCGCATACATATGAGGCATACCGATGCCTGATTGGAAGGGAAAAGGCAATCGTATCTCATCTACACGTGGGTGGCAAGGTCTACTGGGCACTCATCCTGCACGCTGTTACGTCGGGCGACACATTCTGCGTTGAACATGAGAGTGGAGGTCTAGTCCTCATTGGGAAATACTGTGCACAAGACAAAGGAATACTGGTCTGCCCATGGCATTGGACCAGTAGCACAGTCGGGAGGTACATGAGAGCTCACATGTGCACCTGACTTGCATGGTGAGGTGTTAAGTCTTTAACCTATTCCATCCCCATTTGTCATAGTAGGCCAATCCTTGGCCTTGGCTTGTGTTTATGCCACCTAAACTGCCATTAGCATTATGTGCTTATAGTATCAGACTTCAATGTCAAGTAGGCAACCATAGTATTGAGAGGACTCCATTTTTAATGTAAGAATTGGTTCACTTGTACTGGCATCGATAAATGTCTGGATGTCTGGGATTAAAGTTAATTAGGCTATTGTCTCCTGACATGAAGTATAAGCTGAAAGAAGGAGCTAAACAGGAAGTAGGTGTAGGGTTACCATACATCCAGTTATTTTCCCTGGACATGCCCTCCTTATTCACCTTCAAATTTTTGTCAGACTACTAAGCATTCACTTTATGGCTGTCTGAAATATTGTAACCCAAAGTAGGTGTTGCCAGAGGGCTATGAACCATAAAGAAAAGGAGACTTGTTGGAGTGGTGCTCCAAAATAGGCAAGCCTGGAGCAGGGCTCCTAAGAATGGGGGGAAGGGGGTTTACATGGGTACTCTGGAAAAAATGGGTAAGTGCCCTAGAGAAGTAGATTTTCCTATGCTTTCACTCAGTGGCGTAGCCAGGTTTTCATCAATGGGGTGTTTACTTCTCCTTGTCAGGGTGGGGGGGGGGTAGGGGTGGATGCATTCCGACCAGAGTTGGGGCGGCTGAAGCCCCCCCCCCCCCTCACTATGCCACTGCTTTCTCTACATGGCAGGCCAACTGCCTAACAGTTTCAATATGGCTGTCTCCATGAGTATTCTATTAGTACCTGCATCACTGAATGATTGAAATTGGTGGAATAATTCCATTCTATTGAACTGAAAATAGCAACGAGGAATCAGACAAGAATAGGGGGAAAAGGAGGTCCAGAATTTTTAACTGGAAAGAAGTGGTGTAAGACTGGTTGAAAAAAGTTCCTGCACTGCAGATATGGAAAAAGGGCTTATGTATCAGGTAAAATTTAGACATTTCGATTTTTTCTAGAAAAATCTGGAAAATGTTAGAACTTTCTATGTAGGTGTATAAGTAGAGTGACCAGTGGGCGTGAGTGCTTATCGTGAACCTACAACAGATACATTGACGCAAGACTGCACTCTAGTCGTTGTTGAGTTAATTGTCATTAAATTGTTTTCTGGAAAATGTCTAAATTTCACCTTTACAACCTGATACATAGACACTTTCTGCCTGCATCCCAGCAATGTGAGATAAAGAAATTCATTAAAACCCCAAGTTCAATTTGAATAAAGATCTAAGACACCATTTGACTGAAAACTGAATTTTGACCTGCTGCAGATTAGCTATGGGAATTTTCTGCCATTTTTATTGAATTGCATCTTTTGCACATATTCCCTTTTTCCAGAGAATTCCTCATCTGTGCTCATTTCTTTCTTGACTAATTGGACCTAATTTGCATTGTGTGTTCTACTGCCCCATGCTTGAAATAAAAGCCTTTTCATTCATTCATTCATTTTTTCAGTGCCACTCTCAGAATAGGATTACTGGTATGTATATTGTACCTAATACTTGTGTGAAGTTTGGTCTCCTATTCTTGGCCTACATCCACCATGAGTGTCCGAGTTGCAAGGTACAAAAAGTCAGTTGCAGTAAGTCACATGTAGAAAAGTCTTATTTAATATTTTTAAATTATCTATATTCCTTACCTTGCCACAAATTAAGCCCAATAGAAGTTAGTAGTATTTGTTGAAAGAAGCTAGACACTTTTAGATTAGGCTATGTTGCAAACTATGAGTGACTGTTCTATGAAATAAATATTTTAGTTAAGATTGTCTCTTTTCGCAGCAAAATTCTCTGCAAGATCTTTATTGCAAACCATGCCACATTGGTCACTGTATCTTATATGTTGGGGATGTAGAGACCAAAACTTGACATCAGATAATTTGTTTTATAAAATCAACATTCTGAGCTGTCCTCTTGCTTCATTAGGCCCATCAGCAGTTCCATTGGTCAACTTTCCTTCTTCACTTGCGTTCTTTTCCTGTCTGTTTTTTATGTCTTTGGTCCTCTACATGTCCTTATATTATTCCTTCCCAGAAGTCACTTTAACACCGTTAGTGGAATTTAGAATTAAACTAAATTCTCAGGGAAATAAATCTGAACTTATGACTATGATTCCTGATGTATTTTTCAGGATATGTTCACTCCGCATACACCTTTGGAATTGAGTCCCACATTTCGCAGTCAAACATCAATGGAGCCCTGGTGCCACCTGCAGCCCTTCTCAGCATCATCCAAAAGGGGCTTCAGTATGTGGAGGCTGAAATAAGTGTCAATGAGGTGAGGTGTATGGTTAGAATCATAGAACCAGTTCTGGACTGTTATGTTAAAATATCATGCTATAAGGAATAATGGCTGGATCTGATGGCTACACTGGTGTAAACTGGTACAGACAAATTTTTTTTCCTGTCACATTTCAAAGGAGATGGAACCATTACACCCTTGAGTTCCAATGATGTCTGTGTTGTCACACTAGTGTATGCTGCAAGCAGTGCCAATTCGGCAGCATGAAGATCATTTGAGCCTGCTCTTCCAGCCTGGCACTGCATGGCAGAATCTGCAATAATCAGTCACTCTTTTGACAAGAGGCAAATTTGTGCAGCTGAAGAATTTGTTGACTTCTTCTATACTTCCATCATCCAATGAAGAAGAATCATGTGGAATCAACTTATGTTTCCATTTCTGAATTCTGCCCTGGCACTGCCTTCCGTGGGAAATGCAGTGATCCTATCATTTCTGGCATGGGCTAGTATACATGCATGCATTCTGGGTCAGGGATACATGATCACAGATTATTCCATTCAGTAGCCTGCACAGTTGTATTGAACTCTGGGACATGCTATAACCTCCAGAATCCTGACTACCTTGCATGTAATTTTAAATTTTGATTTGGTGCTTTCTGAAGTCAGTTTGAAAATCATTTTCAGTGTTGTCTTTCTTTTGAAAGTAGAGCATGGGTTGTCTTGAAACCTTTATTGTTTCACTTTATGAAGTATAGAGCCAATATTGAAAATGTAGATATATCTTGACTCAGGATTCAGGATATCCCATCTTGTAATAAATCATTCAGACTACACTAATGTTACGTGATAAAGTACTAGTAATTCTACTTTTTACTCTTGCATTCCAATGAGACCAATGCAACCTGCTGGCATTATGCTTGACTTGTTGTGCAGCAACTTTACCATAAAATGGAAGCATCCATGAGGACTCAGTAATATCAAGGATTTGGTCATTAATATGATTTTACACAAGGCTAAAAATTAAATTTGGACATAGAAGGTGGCAGCCATCTCATAGATGTCATTGTGCCTCAAATGCATTACAGTATTCCAAATGAGTTTAAATGGTCTGAGTATGATGTACTTTATCATTCAGACAGGGCCAGGACTCCTGCCAAAGCCTTGGAGAGTAGCACTGCACCATCGCCTGCTGATTGGTTTCCCACTGGCCATTCTGGACATAATTAGGTTTATCTTAGGGTGCACATGGGAGACATGTCAAGGAAACCAGATTTGAGACCTATCGCTCCAGAGAAGCAGCTCGAAGTGGAGATTCTACCTCCATATGACAGTTTGGGAGGTTCAGTTGATAAAGTGTTGCTGTCCTCAAAAGCCTCCAGTTTGAGCTGCTTCTCAAGATTGAGAGAACTTGATCTTGAGTCCAGTTTGCCTGACATGTATCCTACATATATCCTGAGATGTCAGAATGACTGGACATGACATTGAACATTGGGGATTGGTAGGCCTACCTGACACATGGTGAATACATGGGAGTAGTGTACACAAGACGAATTCTGGGTTGTGGGAGAGTGTTCATGCAGTGTGCACAGTGTTCACATTACAATGGATACCTGGGCAGTGAATAGCAGTGGGAAGCAGAAGTGTAAAATTCAACTGCCCTTGCTTACAGTAGGCTTCCCCCATGAGAATTTGCTGCTTCAGTGCCTGGACTTTTCATTTCAGCCCACCATTGCATTGTAAGATTCTGCAGCATGTGAGAAAATGCAATCCCAAAGATGAGCATGGCAGAGGTGGTGCAAAAGAGGGCATCACTCTAAGACCATTACTTGGTTTTGATATTGATCTTGTGCTGGTCATCATTTCGAATCTCAAGCTTAGGTTCAGAAAATTGGATTGTTTGTAGTGGACAGAGAAGGTCAAGAACTTGACATTTTGTGTCCTAGGATGGTTCCCAGAGAGAGTTGGAGAGCCTGTCACTGATTGATGCTGTCATGCCTGATGTTGTAAGCTCTTGCCAGCAAAAGCAGCAGCAGCAAGTTGTACAATCCGACAACCAGAATGGATCGGCTGAGGATGGCCAGCACCCCTACAGTCAGTGGTCCAACCTGTTGCTTCATTAGGTGATAGCGTTATTCTGTACTCCTCACATTTGGTATGTTGCTCAGGTTTGGCAAGGACTACAGGTGGGGGGGTGGGAGGATCTGGTGGAGGTGGAGAGGCAATGCAGCTGGATGAGAGCTTGGAGATACCTGCATCTCGAGCCACAGTTCTCAAGGGACATGAATCGGAGGTGTTCATCTGTGCCTGGAATCCTGTCACAGATCTCCTTGCATCTGGGTTTGTTCCTTGTCTCTTAAATCCTTTTCTTCCTATTTTGCTCATACAAATTTTTTGAGTATGATATTAGTATATTTAATTAACTTTCTCTCCTAATTCAATCACCATCTTTTCCTCAAAGGCATTATTCTTGGGGTAATGTTTGTGCTGCAGTTGAAATTTGTTATTATCATTTGTTTTCATTTTCTCATTTTCTATCTCATTGTGGCTCATCTTTCACTCTTCATTCTAGAATATTTTTCTTTATTGTCTGCCCTTGTCATTTGTTGCCAGTTTCTCCCTGCATTTACTTGGTCCTTTGGTGAAGCTGATTGGGGTTACAATCATGTTATTGCTGTGTCCAAAAGTAACAATTAAGCCAAATTAATATAGTTCCATTTGGTGGAATGTCATCTAAATTGGTTGTGTTTCTGTAAAAAGGCATGGTGTTAAGCTCCTTTCCATTACCAAGATTCTATTAAATGTCTTTAGTTGTCAATTTGAACACCTCACATGAGCAGTAGTTAAATTCTATGTATGGTTACTGATACTCTCTTTGGGGCCCCCCTGTATATACAGGGTGGGCCAAAAGTAAGGTTACACTTAGCAACAACTTGTGTAGAAGAGTCTGTATGTCTATGCCCAATTGCATTGAAAAATGCTTGGAATGTGATGGTGATGTATTTGAAAATTTACTTTGAACTTTGTTTTTTAAATATATTTTTATTGTTGTTATAACATGGAACTCTAAGTGTAACCTTTCTTTTGGCCCACCCTGTATATGTATACCTCTTGCCCACTTTCCAGTTCATGATATCCTTTTCTAGATTGGGTATCATCTGCTTGCTCCATGAACACACTGTCTTGTTCCACACAGGTCAGGAGACAGCACAGCACGAATCTGGAACATGAATGATGGTGCAAATCAGGGCCCGGCTGGTGGGACTGGCCCAAATGGGACAGGATCGGCTCCACCAGGTGGGACTGGTGCTGGTTCATCAGCCAACCAGCTTGTCCTTCGCCACTGCATTCAGAAGGGTGGCACTGAGGTCCCCAGCAACAAAGATGTCACATCTCTTGATTGGAATGTATGTTTGTTTGATTGTCAGTCATCTCTTCATCCAATCATCTGAACAAGTAAACCAGGATATTTCCATTAGACTGTTTCAAAGCCTGTGTAGCTGATTTACAAGCCCAGAATTAAGTCAGTGGACTTTGAGTTTCCATTTTTTTGGCCATCATGGAAGGTGGATGTCTTATAACCATGTAGTAAGTCATTGATTAAATTCTGTGAAATTCTTTATACCTGTTATAATTTATTACTGATTAAGTAATTTTCTTGTATTTATTGATGTACTTAATATGTTATTGAAGTCTGACCTGATTCAATAGTGGGAGTATGTAAGTTTCTCATAGATTTTATTTCTGAGTCTAATTTTTATTGTTTCAGAGTGAAGGTACATTGTTGGCAACAGGATCATATGATGGGTATGCAAGGATCTGGACAACAGATGGCAGACTGGCATCTACACTGGGCCAGCACAAGGGTCCCATCTTTGCTCTCAAATGGAACAAGAAAGGCAATTACATTCTCTCTGCAGGTGTTGACAAGGTATGTCATCTTGACATACTCTCATTGCTGGGTATTTCCCTAGTCAACCCTGAGTGCTTAGTCAGTTAAATGGAAGTAAATTGTTATTCTTCATTGGTTTCTGTTGCTGCAGTGTTTTCTTCCTTATGATGGGGAGATGATATGGTATTCTTTCACTGTGAATTCAACAGCATGTCCAATTTTAAGCTTTTAATGTAGTATCTTATGTGAGTTGTTCATTTAAGAGCAGACAAGTGAATTATCATTTACCAGGTTTTGTAAGCCAAAACAGCCTCCGGAAAAGCCTAAAAGTTCACAGTTCAAAAATATTGAATGAATCATGCTGCAACTTTATCAGATATGGCAATTCCATATCTGAAAGTGTCAGAGGTTAAGGGATGGCCCTGGTGATTTTTTTTTTTTGGCCAACAGACAACAATCATCTGGGATGCTTCAACAGGCCAGTGCACACAGCAATTTGCTTTCCATACGGCACCAGCCTTGGATGTGGACTGGCAAAGCAACACTTCATTTGCATCCTGCTCCACTGACCAGCGCATCCATGTATGTCAGCTGGGGTCTGACAAGCCTGTCAAGTCCTTCCAAGGTCACACCAATGAGGTGAATGCAATCAAGTGGGACCCACAGGGCAACCTTCTTGCATCCTGCTCTGATGACATGACCTTGAAGGTTTGTTTACTCTTAAGTTCTGATGTGCATGAACATGACAAGTATTTCTTTCTTCAGGAATATCTGATATTATGGAAGTATCATCTGATAGTATGAAAATTATGGAAGTTAGAAAGTCAAATGAAACCAGTAAGCTCAAATGCATACTGTGCTGAATGTTGAACCTTAAAGAAAAGCATGCTGGACATGAGAAAGTTAAATGCAGCAGTTGTGTCTCACACCCATGCCTGTTGACTGCCTTCAAATTGTATTTCCCTTATGCACTGCGTTAACTTCTTAGCAGCCTCAACTGCATGTAAGCATCATTGATATTATGTGTACATTAGCTTGCATGAAATGCTTATAAAGCATCCTCATATGAGGATTGAAAATCCATTTTCATAAATGTGTATTGAAATCTTTCACTCACTGATTTGTACAACATTGTTACAGTAAAATTGATTTTTTTCTTCTTGAAAAAATCCTCTAAGAGTAGAAAATATGTGGTATGGGCAGCAACATTTTGCAATAAGATTCACTTTTCACAATGGCACTATATTTGGGTTACAATCACACAGTTCCAATTCCCAAAAATATATTGCCATAACCTTGCCTTCAAAATGTTCAGTTAGTAAGCATACCTGCCTTTGGATTGCATGTATGAATTGCAATCGAACAAGGTGGAATGATGTTGAGAAATACTATTGCTGATGTAAAGGACAGCATTGCATTTTTGGATCTACTGCATAGACAATTGCTGCTGCGTATGCCTTTACTTTTGAATACTGGCTTGCCAAGTAAATTCCTAGAAGAATGCCAGTCACAGTTGCCAAACAGTATTGCCTCTATCCATACATATTTGATCATTCCATTCCTTCTGCCAACTTAGCTATTGTGGCATTCTTGGTATGAGTGATTGCTTTGCACAAGGATTCACTGTGTGCCCTCTCGATGCAACATATTTTTGGGTGGGATAGATCTGGTCAATGAAGCAGGATGGCTGCGTGCATGACCTTCAGGCACATAACAAGGAGATCTACACCATCAAATGGAGCCCCACTGGACCTGGCACCAACAATCCCAGCATGAATCTTATCCTTGCCAGGTAAACTCTTCCAAAGCTTCAGTCATTCACCTGATATCTGGGCATCATTACAGGAAAAACAATGTGATTGGTCTAGACTTGACTTTCATTCTTATGGAGGGATTTTCTTTTATTCAAGTCACTCCTTGAATGAAATACCAAAATCAATTATGTAGAGTGCAAACATGAAGATATGTTTTGCATTGAATGCTGATTGTTGAACTTCCTTCAAACCTTGAACTTTATCCCATATGCAAAATTGGTTTGCCTGCCTGCCATTTAAGTTTATTAAAAAATATAAAAAATATTTCATTGCCCTTGAATTCTCAATAAATGCTTCCAAGTCACATCATGTTTGTCTGGTAGTGCATCATTTGACTCAACTGTGCGTCTCTGGGATGTGGAACGAGGTGCCTGCATCCACACCCTGACCCGCCACACAGAACCCGTCTATTCGGTGGCCTTCAGCCCTGATGGGAAATTCCTTGCCTCAGGCAGCTTTGATAAGTGTGTCCACATCTGGTCCACTCAGGTATGTTCTCCCTACTGTTATCTCCATTCTGTCAGTGAAAGAAAGAGTTTTGCAGTCAAATTTTGGTGGGAAATGTCTGCAGTCGGGACAACTGGTACATAGCTACAAGGGGACTGGTGGGATCTTTGAGGTGTGTTGGAATGCTCGTGGAGATAAAGTTGGAGCATCTGCTTCAGATGGAAGTGTGAGTTCTGCTTCAAATATTCTCATTTTGATCAGTTTTTCCATCTGCTATGATTAGTCACTAGAAATATGAGGTGTTTAACAGTATGGCTTTTGTACAATGCTTTTGTTCACTGGGGCCTAAAAAGCATTTGTAATTATTTTACATGTATTTTACCTATTTATTATTTCATGAGGCACTTGTTCTGGATCAGGTGATCCACCCAGTTGTAACCATGGTAACCAGTTTGTTGCCAAATTGCAACTGATACTGATATGAAAAATATATTGAAGTCAGAGGTTACTTTGTGTAATGGGCGATACTATGAATGTTTTATGTAAAAAAAAAAAAAAAGGCAAGTGGAAATGGGCAAAATAATTCAGTACTGAAAGAGTTTAAAATAAACAGCTTTTCCAAATGTGATATTCACTAAGAAAGGACAGGTAAAGTCTGCCAAGAAGACAATTAACACCTCAACTGGGGAGTGGCTCAAAGTGAAATTTTCATGTGGCAGGGAGAAATCTTCACTCTTCTGACTAAATTTTAATATATTTGATGAATACTCTAATTTGATTAGGGTTAATTGGTCTGCTTTAAATTCTCTTGCTGGGCTTGTCGTTGCTTGATGGTCCTTCCTGCACTAACCATCTCACAGAGCTGGATGCTGGATTGTATTTGTTTATAAGTGAGTGAAGATATGGTCACATAAGAAGTATAATCTAGAGTGGTATAAAAATGCTGTGAACCAATAAAGGAAGTCATTGAACTTCTGTGTTAATCTTATCATTTGTTACTATTAATAATGTTGTAACATATGTTAATATTAAATTATTAATTTTAAATATTGCAACCAAATTTTCAGTTTTATGTCACCCAGTCCTCACTTCATAGAAAATGACTAGGATGATTTGAAGCATGTTGTATTTCTGACATTCCAAAGAAAAACTTATAAAGTATCATGGTCCATAAAACTGTCTTATTGGTGGGCTTGTAGTTGATGAGTAAGGATGCATAAGAAAAACAAAACTTTTTTTTAAACTCTTATTTACAAATCTGAAAATGGAAGGTATCATTCTTGTGAGAATACTTATTGTTCATGCAATCGCTATAGCTATGATGTGATTTTTTCTTTACCCAGGGAGAGAACAACTTGCATGAAATTTACTCTTTTTTTTTTTTGCTACAAAGATCATGAGTTTTTTTTTGTATGTTTCAATTGAAGCATCATTCCATGTCCTGTTCCAGGTGTTTGTGCTGGATCTCCGGAAGTGAGTATTGACTGTGGACCTGGACTGTTTCCAGGATATCTGCAATTCCAATGAGAAAGCAGACCAAGACCCTTTTTTTTTTTTCTTTTTCTTTTTTTACTCAAATAAGAGTAAGCAAATAGAGGATTTGATCATGTGCTGGAAGCATGGATTTTGTTACAGTTATTCTGATTATCATGCAGGAAAAACTTTTGGCATCTCAAGTTCGGCAAGTATTGATCTGTAAGTTCCTTTTCTGCTTGGTCCCTGGTTCTATTCACCAATTTATGGGGAGTTGATAGATTTGGTTGTGTTTTTTCAATCAACTCTTGGAGTTATTGCTTTTTTATGATTGCATCATTCATTGCAGAATACAGCTCTTCCACCAAAAATGTTTATTCTGAATTTCATTCAATTTTGATGCATGAATAGCTAGAATGTTGTATTTCCAACATCTTTGCAGGTTTCTCAGTCTCAGTGAACACAGTGATTTGATTAATGAATAAAAAATAACATCAAGATAGAGAAATTACCTTATGTCCAAAATGTCCAGACCTCTGCAAATTTCAAACAAAGGCTGTTACAGTGCAAATTCATGACAATTGGGAGTGGATCACAAAGAGTCACAAATTGCCAATCATATCATACCCATGATCCACTGTTGTCAGGTTTCAAGTAACATGAAAACAATTTTGAAGGGTCATTGATTGGAGAATGATGTTGAAGCTTCAGCAGTTGATGGCTGAAGTTAAAAGTTGCTAATTACTCCAGCGACCGTAGCACGGTTGAGAAATTCCTCTCGGGAGACATAAGCGGTGATCACACACCTACGTCCATCAAAGGCTCTTCTTGCATGCAAGACCCTAAAGTTGTCGATAAACATTGTCATCCCTGGCCTGAGCTTGAGCTGGAATGTGCGTGATGGTTCCAAGATGGTACGTCCTAGTGTCTGGTATGCTGAGTAGACCTCGTACACCTTTTCAACTGGGAGAGTTGACATCTCAGCTCGGTCATATGGGTTGTAGCTGCAATTAAATGAGCCATGGTGGTATAGGCCTCCTGACCTGATTTGGAGTTGACTTCAGTCTACGGTCTGATATGCAGGGCAGCAGGTATGTAATTTAATTGCTCATTAAAGAATTCCTTCAGAAATAATCCCCACGAGAGAAGTGTGAACAAAGACATCAATCTAATGCTGTCACCTCTCATGTCCCCCTGCTCCTCCATTCTTACTACACATTATTCCTTTTAAATGCAGATGATATCATATTTCTGGACGTAAACTGACCGAAACTGCATGAGGTGCCCTGTGACAGGATCATGCTTGAAGGTGAGGTCCAGATTGGTGAAATGATTTTTTTTCTGACCACCTTCCTCCTCACGGAACTCTGCTGGAAGTGGGATGGAGGAGAGGATATGATACGCCTCTGGATGCATGTCCCTCATGTGGTTGGCCACAGCCAGTCCATCCACTAGCATGGTTTCTCCTCCTGACCCATTGTGAAACTGACCATGGAAGATCTCCAGCCTGAGGAAGAACATATTGATTTAGTTCAAATCTTAATGTCCAACCTTCAATTCATTTCAAATCTTCAAGACTTGTTTTCTGACTTTGCCATGAAAGCTTCATCAAGATGTATGAACTTAATAACTTTTGAACTTGTGATTTTTAACCTGTGAAGCAGGTTGCCAATTTTGAAGTGCAGCCTGATTCTGTTTGCAATTAAATCCAATTTGCAATTCATAACCAAAGAATTAGATTTTTCCCCAAACTTGATTCTGGACTGGCATGATCAACTCAGATTTTATTCAAGTGCAAGTGTGAAATGGCTAGAATTTTCTTGTTTTCTTTTTTCTTTGCCTGACAGGATGGCAAAGGTTATCTTTGTCTAAACATGATACTGTCACAGTGTTTACCAACACAATCTCATCTTCATTATGCAGAAGTAGAAGAGCAAGCGTAGTACACGTTTAACCCTGCGAGCTGATATTAAGAAAGAACAATGTAAAAAAAATTAGTCAACAACAAGTATCTTTAGTGAATCTTGCTGGAGCTTTCCATTTAGCTTGATGAAGCCATGGGGCATCATAATGATAGTATGGAGCAACCATACCACCATGGAGTCATCTGAAAAGACTCAAGAGAATATCTAATAATTCTAAAATTGTTGCAGAGTAAAACACAATCCCCTTTCATTGCAGAATTGCATGTTTAACCATGTTCCTCTCTTTTCCATCTGCCGTATTTCCAGGAGCTCTAATTTAACAAAAAAAAACTTTAAGCGACCACAGGATTCCGTTTAAATAGCTATATTGAATATCAGAACTTGACTGTTATCTTTCGTATCCAAATGATTTTATTCAGATTTGTAATTCAGCTCAAAATGTAAGTTTGTGAATCATTTTTAAATAGCCTGAATGATTGGTGCACGTTCTGGTGCAAGTCGATTCATCCGGCAGCAGCAACATATCTGGCATGGAAAGGGTTAACCATCTGAGACGGTTACCTAAAGGTGATTACTGATTAAACGTGGCAGGAAAACTCCTAAGGATGAGCGGTAAAATCGAGCTAAGTTTCGAGGTCGTGAGATGAGGCAATAAAAATTTGCCTAATACCCGAGGAAACTGCGATGCAGTGCCAAAATGAGATTTCTGGAGGTTATTTCAACAAGTTGTTTAGAGTGTTTGATCTATGTCGGGTAATTGGGACGCATATGTACGTGATTGGTATGATGGGCATATATATTCCATGAGATACAAGATCGCGTCAGCAGAATATTAATGCAGGATGTTCAAGTTGTTTTTGTTTTGTTTTTTATTATGTCGCCCGGTGAATTGTAGATATCTCTTCGGCGACCAATTAAGACAATGGATGCCGTTAGCGGTGGGAAATGATCTGATTTTCGACTTTTAATACGATGCGTGACGAACGCCGCAATTTAAAGTACAATTTAAAAATAATTAAATATAGGGTCGACGAGTTAAATATTAAAAAGAGCATACCCGGACGCCTGAGTCCAATAGGTGTTGTCGTGGTGAGGCCCGATGAACTCGTTGGTGTAGGCAGTGTCCGCTCGCTCCAGGTTGGCCTCGAAAGCGTAGATGTCCCCGAAAGTTGTGTTCATGATGGGAACCACGGCCTCGATCGCCTTGCGGGTCTCCTCCAGCGTCGGGGGCACGTCCATTGCCGCGGCCACGCCGTACACCCACAGCGACTCCAGCATTTCCTTCGCCGACTCCATCTGCGCGTTCAAAACTACTTCGTGCGGATCTCAAGATCTCTGCATTCTCTGACAACGCGGAATTCCGAATTTCGAGTAGAAGAGGAAAATAAATAGGTAAACCCTATTACTTGTGGTAATCCGTTAATCATTTAACTCGATCGATCGGCGTTCTTTGCCCTGTCAAATAGAGCTCGATCGGCGTTACTCAGTAAAAGTGACTACGAAACTGAATCATATACTCCAGAATATTTTTTATGAATGCCATTCAATAATTTAAAAAAGATTTTACATTCAATTCGTTCCCAGTGGTCTATCTGTAGTGAAATTAAATCTTTATTCAGAATTTGGTACCTCTAGCTTCATGCCTTCGACTAGCAGAATCCACCTGAATCATTTCCAAAATTAATATCTAAATATTTTCCCTCATTTTCTCGGTTCATTTTGCATAAAAACATCATTATCCGTTTCATTGAGCATAATTATCGTCAGAGCGAACAACCTTTTATTTCGATATTTTTTAGATGACTATCAGCAATAATTGGACAAGTAACTGGTTGCCATTGTTACATTTGCATGGGAACGAGCTGGGTCCTTCCTTCAGAACAAGTATCTCACGAATGAATTCTTGAGAGCAAAACATGCGTGAAATGATTCAGAGCTCGGCCCAATAGATAAACAGGAGAAATCGGAGTTGGCTCCCAGACCTGCGTCTGTGGATGAATGAGTCGAGAGAAGGGGACGCGCGCCCAGGGAAGCTCTTGGAGCTGCTGGCCTTGGCTCCAGGGAACTCGTTTCTCGTAGACAGCGGCGCGGAGTGTCCTGCCCTTGCCGGGGCTGTTCTTCGCCAGCCATTCCATCGTGCTCTGAGACTCGTGGCCGTCTTCCCCTGTTCACGGTCGGATACTTTTTACGTGGATCACCGTCGGGAGGATCACATTCTCCAGTCGCGGAATGCGATTAAGTACATAAAGATGCGCTATCGATGACCGGAAAGCGACGTGTGCCTTGGCACGTATTCATCTACTGATGAGAGGGTTAACATATGAAAATTTTATGACTCACCCTGCATATATGCCCAAATAATTTTTTTTTTAAGAATCAGTGCTGTAAAACGCATCCCAGAGGGAGGGGGGGGGGGGGGGATCCAGACCAAAATCCCCATACCAATAAGCGCAAATACTGATCCGGGTCTTCACGAGAAGCATGGACTTACACTGGACGAGGAGTTTGTCGTCCTCCACACGGGCATTCGTGGGCTCAATGTGAAGGGGGATGGCGAGCAGATCCTGCTTCCTTTGGAACGTGCGGTGGTTGTAGGACGCGGGGGATCGGCAGTGGTCTCTCAGCCAGATCCACGGGAGGGTCAGTCTGTCCCCGGACCCCGTGCATACTTCCACTGCCTTCTTCTCCCGGTCGATTCGCACAAGATCGGCCTCGCCTGTCAACGTCATTCGTCGGTAACGGTCACCCGCCCACCGGAGTCCATCGCGAAATGCACTAATGCAACTAAACTTGGAGGTATTCTAGCTCAAATGATCAATTTTAGGGACTTGATGTTTTCGACAGAGATTCACTTGGGGGAAATATTATGCACGGTAACCCCCTTGAGTCTAGGAAAAACTCCAAAATTTAGTGCTCTAGCTCAAACGGTTCTCGCGATATGTCATCCCAAAGCGGGTCCCCTTGGGTTAGTGACTACGAGTAAAACGGCTATTTTGGGCCCTAATTGAGCTTGGAAAAGGATATGTAAATACTTATTAGAAAAGTGAAGAGCAGTTCGAGCCAGAGCGCCAAAAATGTGAGTTTTGAAAACTCGGAGAAATTACCGGGTGCGGAATTTCCCCCCTCACAAATCTGTCAACCTGAAGTAAAATCCGATGACTCGAGCCGGGTGCTGTAAATATACAAATAGGTATTATAGAAGAAACTCACGTTCGGGGAGGGCGGTGGCCAACTTCCTGACGCACAAGGCCGCGGAGGAGAGGCGGTGCTTGCCCCAGACGCTGAAGCAACGGAAGCCGACTTGGATCGCCATCTTCATCCTCTCGGTCCAGGAACGAGACTCAGAACCTGTTCCTTCGCGAGTCCCCTTTTATATCGTTTTGTCCCACGTTTTGTCTTCGGTAACGTCCGTCATCTGGAAATACCGGTAAAAACATGTTTCTCTGGGCACAGCGAAGAACCGGACAAAAGCCAATTTTGGACTTGATGTCCTAATTCCGGATTTTCAGGTGTCTCACCGCTCGACGCACAACGGGGACGAACGTGATCGAATTTGCCCTCTATTTTTTTTTCGAGGAGCTTTCGTATTGTTGAAAACAGATTTCAAGGACCACGATCAAGGACGCGATACGATCTGGTTTTAATCGGCATGTTTGTACTTTGACGTATGAAGAAGCCACATGCACGGAATATCACGTGGAAACATCTCTCCGATATCATCGGGTTTCGATTGTGCCTCAAAAGATTATTCACATTCCTGGAAACTGTACGGAAGCTACCGTACATTCCTGCAAGCTGTACGGAACCGATTTGCATCAAGCAAACAGACTCGTTTTTTTTTCCCCTTTGGGGGTAGGGTTTCTTGTGAGGAGAAATTGTCGGGTGTAAAACGACAGAACTCTCTCGACGGTGCTGCTTTTCGGGGTACCAAGTACCGACCGAAGTACCTACTCGGCAGGGCCCAAAAAATGAAGTAATGAGATGTGAAGCAAGGGATGTGCGGACACGTCCTGGCACATGGGTCTGCATTTTTTTGGTATCTAGGGCAGAAAATGCTCTCAAGCACATGCTATATAAAAGGTCACAGGCTTCACTAGGACGAAATCCACGGATTTCGACAGGTGAGGTACTGATTGACTTGCTTGACTCAAGGTCCTTTAGTCCTGAACTGGTACTGGCAGGTACTTATGAGTACTCTAAGGTATGACCTTAACGAGAGGCGCAACCAAGTTAGAACCCTAAAGTGCTGGGGAAAAAATCCAAAACCTCCAAAAAATGAATTTAAAAAACTGAAGCCTGGCGCGCCGTCCGAATTTTTAATCTGAATTTTCGAAAAGCAATTGGACAGGAGTAGGCTAGAAAGATTCGAAATCGACGAGACCCTGAAAAGCGACTGTGATGACAAAATAGATGGAATGTCATGCTCTGCCTCGTCATCTGGAGGCGACCCGAACGCCCCGGTATCGAGATTTCGATCGCGACCGGCGACAGACGAAACGCGAATAGACTTTTCCCCTCTGAGGAAAGACAAAATCCGAACCGAGTTCGTTTCGAGGAGCTTTCGGGATCACGTGCAGAGCTGGTTTCTGATTTCACGTGCAGCCGGAGGTTCTGGATCTCACGTGCAGAGGCGGTTCCGAACCACACGTGAATCGGAGATAGCGATCGCGTCTCCATAGGATCTCGCCCTCGAGGCTCACCCGCCTCGTTAAGGCGAGCCGGGATTTCCTGGTCGGCCCCGCCTACCCCGAATTCCTAATTCACGAACGATTACTCACTCTTGGAGTTATGCCACTCGTATGCCCACCGAAATAGCTTAGGAGCGGGCGAGGTGAGAGGACGGCAGGAAAGGAATTCCTCGCAAAAATAATTCGAATCAGTTTTAGGATGAAATCAGTTCGGATCTGGTTGGGCTCACACGAGTTCATCACACTCCACTCACGTGAGTTCGTTCTTGAATTCCCGGTTTTAGAACCTGCCAGTCACAGAAGCAGGCATCGCCAACATCAATTTGGCCAAGAACGACTCCCTAAACTTTCCATTTCGGTTTCACGTGTCGAAAAAAAAAAGAAAAGGTGGTGGAGTTGCACGTGAAGGATCATGTTTGCGTTCCCTTCGTGACCACGAAACCGCATGAAACCTGCTGCCGCAGAGAGATGCCAGACTTTTTTTTGTTAACTTTTATTTTCTCTTATCTCTGCCACACTCGGAACCGGTACGTGCTATTGACGACGCCGAGGACTAGGAGAACCGCGACTTTCATCTTGCCTTATAGAGGAAACGGGGCGGGGGTTTGGCTCAGGGAGTTGAATGATGAGTATCAATATTTGTCTCGACTTCTCGGTGCTCCTTTACGGCGCAAGTACCGAGCCAAGATTGCTATACTGGGACGTACAGCCTAGGCAGTGAGAGAATCAATAATAAAATGTATGGTATGCCTCAACTGGCCTCAGGTCAAGACCTCGAGGTTATCCCGTTTATGAGTAACTACGCCTGAACAAACCCCAAAAGTTTTGTAATCAAGATACTTAATTGTAGAAATTCTAAGAAAAGTTTCCGAGAAAAAAAGTTGGGAAACCTGGCATCCAAACCCCTTCGATGTGAGAATTCTGTATAAATAAGAATTCCGAGTCCCAATCGCCTGTGATGTCACGAGATGTTCAGAGGCATGCCCATCCGCTGCTGCGAAAACCTGTACTGACCAGTCGAAAAGAAAACAAAGGGGAAAATCACGACGTACGGCGGTTCGTCCTCGAATGAGAGGCCTCCTCGGGCACGAGAGACCTCCGCGGTACCAACACCGTATCCCGACGGAGTAGGGGGATCGGATCACTCCGCGGGAAGGTGTGGACCTGCGGACGACTCTATCGCGGGCAGGGAAGGGAGAAAAGTATGGGAGAAAAAAATCCTTGGCGCAGTAATACCACTATGGTCTTATGGGCTAGCCACTGTTCTCCCATGTCCTGTAGTAGTACTAACAAGTTCCACACAACTTGCCAACACTGTAGTCGAAGTTATCGAAGTCAAGGAATATGATTGTCACCCATGAAGGAGATTTCGGGTGGAGGGAGCCGTTGAAAATGAATGGGGGAAGAAAAGAGGCGTTGGCACTATTTCTCCTCTCAATCAGCTGTTCTTTCTCCCTCTCGCCATTCTAGGCCTAGGCTTATCGAGACGCACGCCCTTTTCCAGACGCCTCTCGCTTTCCCTTTTTTTTTTCGGCAGGGCGCAGGAATCCTCAGTCATCAGGCATGGGAAGATGTCCAGGAACATCCTATTCCAAGAGCTGTGGGTTCGGCCTAGGCCTAAACGGGAAAACATGGCTTTCCAGGCCGCTTGCATTTCATATCGGTCTCATTGGTCTAAGCCTATCCTAGGCGTAACGAATATGCCAGCTTGGCCTATGAGGCTTACCTAGGCCTAGGCCGTAGATGTTGAATTGCGTATAAATGCGTTCCGTATTTGGGGAGGTTTCTGTGTTACTAAGAGCCTACCCTAGCCTAGCATAGGCCTAGTTTTCCTCTAAGTGCAGCAATTGACAACAATGAAAAATTGAAATCTCCAAGTGAAGAAGCATTCTGCAGAAGCATTCACCCAAATACTCCAGAATGCAAATAGGGACATTCGTAAAGTATATTCTTTTCTCCCTTATTGCAGAAGAAAATATTGTTTTCAGATTGGATTCATTGGTGGATAACAGAAAAAGCACCAGAGGATTTGCCTCATCAGATGATGCACAAAACAATCCATGTGGAAGAATTCACTACCAGAAATTGATGGAAATGCTCCTATGGGGGAGGCAGTGTACAGTTTCAATCCAAAAACAGTCTACTGATCCCATTTCAACAACCTCCTATGCAGGGTTTTGTAAGAAATTAGGAACTGGATTTAGGCATGACCTAGTTACTGCCAATTCCAAATGGAACTAGTTATTTTTGGCAATTGTATGCCAAATGAAATAGAAAACTGCTCAAAAGAGAGCAAGATATATATTTTCCTACATTCCATTTAGAAAATGCTGCTTTTTTAAGTTTTCCCCCAAAAATTCTTGCCTCATCAGGGAGGAACGTAATGCTTGTGACACTTACATGACTTTTGACATCGTAAAGTGACTAATATAGAAGGAATCTGAGGATCTGAGTTTTTTCATCATTATGAAGTCCCTGGAAGCATTTTGATATGGGAAAAGTCACAAGATAATGCTATTTCCAATTAGCAGGGATTGACATTAGTTTTGAGAAAGGATTACTATCTGAGAAATGATGCAGAACTAATTACCTGCTTCAATATCAGAAAAAGTTACTATTTACATGAGGTGTATTCTACTAAGTGACTTCTCACTGTGTAGTTTTTACTACCACTGAAAGTTGTTTTCCATTCCAAGCTCCATTCAAGTCTATCATTTTTTAGTGTTTTTCAATTTGCTTTTTTTTTTCATTCGAGTTCTGCATTTTTCCACTTGACTCTGATTCTGGTCAGACATGGGGAGTGTGATTGACCAGTGTCAGCATATCTTCAGATGTGTTTGACTTGTGAAGAAAACTGAATAATACACTTTTTCTTTCCTTGCATCATTCAAATGTATGGTTTACTCTGGATGCAACCCTATGTCTGTCAATTTATATGAAGTTATCTCTGTTTTTTAGGGAAAAGTTACACAGGAAATGTGATTATTTTGATGTGACTTCTTGCATTCTTAGCCATGGGTCAATCTTCTATTAGGGATGCTGAGCCTACTTGAGCCTAGCTGCATGATCATGGACAGGCTGGAAGTCTGGGAATGTTTTGGTCATGTGGTGAGTAAATGGCAAGTTGATTGAGTTAGTTAAAAATCATTCTGCTGTGGGGCTGCCATGTTCATGGTCAATATAACTCAATACATGTGTGTTGATTTTCTGAGTTAACCACAGCCCAACAGTGTTCAGGTATTGAGAAATACACCAAGAACCTTCAGCACAGGATATTATTTATTTAAAAAGAAGATTCCTTGCAGTGTTTTTCCTCTTTTCTTTTATACTCTCTCTTTTCAGTTGCTATAACAGCTTATTGTGTAATTTTAAAATTCTGTTGCAAGTATTGATTTCCATGGGTTGATGGGGGAGGAAAAATTTTCTTTTTCCAAATGTCACCCCAACCATTCAAATTTACTATAAAAAAATGTTTTGACAAAGGGCAAACTTGATGATTCTTTCATGCTGTCTATCTTGCCATATTCTTTTTGTGTGGATGATGACAGAAATTTACGTTGTTTTATCTTAAGAACAAATTTGAGAACTCTTTAACTGCATTGGTAGTTTTTTTTACACCTGAATGGACATTAGGGTATTGAATATTCTGCTGTGAAAGAGGAAGGCCTGAATGCTGGAACCACTTTTAGTTAATGGTCACAATACACAGATTCCTATGGTGGGGGGGGGGGGGGAAGAGCTCTTTAGCTTAAAGGCCTCTTTAACTTCCGTAAATGAGGTTTGTGCATTTGTACATTAAGCTTTACTGATATTTTAGTGGTAACAACTGGTTGTGAAGTACTGGCAATGGGTATCATTGATAAAGTGACAAGTGCCTGTAGTGACTGGTGGAGGCTAATCGGCATTTGGGCTAATATCTAGCCCAGAGTTCTTCTTTTGGCTGGATAAATGAACTCCTGGATTATTGATATTTGGAGGATATATAGATATATTGTTAGAGGATTAGGCATTCTGCGGTAGTTTTGAATTGCTTTCTTTCACATGTGAAGGTGGTGGTTATAGGTTACTATGAGTTAATCCTTGTGCATGATTATTTTTCCAAGTTGAGAGATTTTTAATATTGTACCTGTATGGTTTATTGGTGGAAGCCACAGAACTTGCAGGGCAATTTCATGTGCCTATTCTTGAAGCAGTAATACCAGAGTATTGCATGATGTTACAGCCTACTTCCTCTTCATGAGATTGAGGCTTGCCAATTTTTGCATTATGCTAAAGCAGAAGCCTAGTGATTTTGCCTTGCCTTGGGCCACTACTCCAATGTCACAGAAGAAGTGAGGAATACATTCAAAGTATACAGCATTCTTTCAATATTCATGAAGAGAGTGACAAAGTGAATGTATGAAAGTAGAGAATAGAACTAGATAGAGCAATTGAGAGGAGTGGCAAGTTACAAAAGGGAATATGGAAAAAAAAACATCAGCTTTACCTCCTACTCATGGCTTTTACCATCACAATGAAGCAGTCATTCTTAAACTACAGTGTGTGGATGGTGCTCCTCTTTGATGTCAGGATAACATGGTGTGTGCTTCCTCTTGCCCTCAAATGAAATTCAGATAAGAAGCATTGCTGCTCTCTGAAAACCCATCATGATAAAAACCTGGCATCCTAATGTTTCATGCTAACCTATACCCACAGCATTCATATCAGTCTTTATGAATTCACTAGCTTAGAGTTTCTAAAATGGTGGCAATCAGGGCAACTAGGATGTATGTCTCGGGCTTGTTTTCTCTTATTTTGGAAAAGCTTCATGGGAAATGTCATGGATCCACTCCTGTTGTAGGACTATGTCCAGTTTTCATGAACAGTAAGTGCCTTTTTTGTTGCAAGACAGTCATACAAGGCATAGGACAGCTTGTAATTATAATTTGTGGAGAAGTAAAAATGACATGCTTGGGTGATGGACCAAATCCTATCCTACCATCCCACAGACAGCTTACCCAAACAATCTGGTTTTACATGAGTATATATGTTTGTTGTCTTTGTATTGAATTTATACCTCCCTTGGTAGTGGAGATGAGAAAAATCACCATTTCTGGAATATTATCTTAAAATGATCCACAAAAACACTCATTTTGAAGATGTCACTTACCTGCAATTGATAGAATTGCTCCTATTGCTGGGTATGTTTCTTTTATCGGACAGCAGTTAAAAATGGAATTCTGATTAACTGGCACCTTTGACAGTGGAAAAGTATGTTATGTTAACAATAAAGTATGACTTATGTCAAAGCAGTCTGTTTCCATATCCGTCCGCATGCCTGAGATGATTCCACTAACCTGGCCCTACGAAATGTTGCACTAGCCTAGTCCAACTTTATGTAAAAAGACTTTTGTTTCTTTTATACAGGGGTTGTGCTAAGTTTCTAGTCCTGGCCTCCTGTTCATGTATCTTGGGGATCCCGGAACCCTAAGACCCAGAAGGCCTAAGACTGCTTGGATTGAATATTATACTGCCTGGTTATGTTAAGTCAGCAAATAAACATGGATTGCTGGACTTTACTTATGGGGAACTCCTCAAGATTCCCTCTTGCTTCACTAGGAAAGTAACCCATTTGATTATTAGGGGACCCTTCCATATCAGACCTGAGGGTCCTGGGTACCCCTATAGCAAGAAATCTAGCACAACACATGAATGTGGTTGCAAAGGCATAGAGTTTGTCTATTTATTACATGATGCCACCTTCTCTTGACCATTGGCTGCTTGAAGGTTAGCTTTAGGGACTAGACCTAGATGGAGCTTGCACTGCATACTATTTCCAGGTCGTTGATTCATTTCATGTCTCCTATTCTTACAGGGGTTGCACTAGGATTCTTGCCATAGGGGTCCCCAGGACCCTTGGATCTGATATGGGAGGGTCCCCTGATGATTGATTAAGTGGGTTACTTTCCAAGTGAAGCACAAGGGAATCTTGAAGGGTTCCCCAAAAGTTAAAAGTCCAGCAATCCATGTTTATTTGTCAACTTAACATAACCAAGCAGTATGATATTCAATCCAGCAGTCTTAGGCCTTCTGCCTATGCATCCCAGGGTTCCGGGACTCCCAGAGTGTATGAACAGGAGGCCAGTGCATGAAACTTAGCACAATCCCTGTCTTATAATTAATAGTTGAGAGTGTATGTAATCAATAGGTAAGATTGTAGTAGCTTCTGCAAGAAGTTGAATTATTATTTACTTTGCCCATGTGTATGTAGTGCCTTCTGAGGAAGTATTTGCAGTATAAGTACCAGTATGAGTGGTGCTGGTAGGCTTGTTGAACATATGCAATTTTTTTTTTTTGGCACCACAAACGAGGAGTGCAGAAATTTGCCAACATTTGTGGTGAACTGAAATTGTGTTTTGACTTATTGTCCTAGACTTGTTGACCTACCAGCTATACCTCTTGCCCTGTACATTGAATTATCTTAACCCTTAAAATTTTAGTGTAGGAATGTATTTTCTGCACCTTGTTTTCATGCCTGTTTCTTTCCATTGCACAGATAGTGAGGGGGATGCAAGTTTCTATTTGTGTTATTCAAAAGTGTGTGTGCCATTGCAAAGAGTATTGCCTCATGTGCACAGATCGATTACAGGGATCTGGAGACAGTTATTTGAACCAGTATCTAAAAAGTGATGGACTCAAGTAATAGTGAAAGAGGTGGACGTGGAATGCCCAAGGCCACTACATCATCTGGTGATCAAAAAAGGTATCAGCAGTTGTGACAGTTATTTCAATATGATCTTGCCACTTTCCTACAAAGCAATAATGAAGCAGAAGTATCTGAAATTATTGTGGAGATGTATGTTTAAGGCATAACTTCATGACAAAAATGTTATGGTGCATTTTTTGCTTGTGTTTTCATGTTGCTTACTGATTAGGGTCTGAAAACTTGTTGTAACATGTAATCCTCCAGGATTTACACTATGTGGCAACATGTCTAAGCTTGTCTGCAATTTAGCCAAGATGTATAAGTTCCAGATTTTTTAAAATGAAATTGGTGTGTTATGTATTTCATTCTGTTGGGAAAATTCCAGTTTTAAGTTTAATTTGAACAGCCCTTGTACTTTGAGGTGGCATATGTCATTTTATTATCTGCATGACACTGGTATCAAATTGATCAGATCCAATGCTGGTTCAGATTCTGATATGAACATCAGTACTATATGTAGCTTGAGTTGACTGAACTTATAATTGAGAACCTATTTTGTTACATATCATGAGAGTAAGTGTTCCCTCTATCCTTATTGCACTGATCCAGAAGGATCATATCTCCAGTTTTCAGAATGTGTACTGGTAGTCTGAAACACTTCCTCTGAAAGCAGACAGGTACTTAGGAGTATTGCCTTTATACAAACTTAATGAACATTAAATGTTGGTATTAGTCATGTTGATATTTGGAAGGAAGAGTGTTTTTTATTTGAAGATGGAGAAGTTTTATAGAGTCTTCCAAAGACTGAATTCTTCCTGTGTGATGGTTACCTTTCCTGCCTTGTCAAGGCAAACGTTATGGCCTGTCAGTTTCTTCAAGATCTTTGCCATAGCTGTATAAAGTAGCTTATAGGGATAGACCTTTTTCTCATTGTAATTGGCAGTTATCTTGACAGGAGCACTATGGAATTGAAACTGTGTGCTGTCACTAGGTAGCAGAATTTATAATAGCTTTCCTTCCCTGTTTCTTACTTCCAGGTCAAAAAAGTCACTCCAAACCCAGGAACAGACAGTACCCGAACCTGGTCCAAGCCGATCAATTGAAGAGAAGTCGAAAAGTAAATCAGAAGAATCAACAAAGCCGCCTCGGTCCAACAGTTATATACCTTCTTCTTTGAGCCTTGCCCAGCTGCAGCCTTCAAAGAGACGACGGGAGACTGTTTCAGGTTCTGAAATTTCCCCTGGTACTGCTGGTGAGTATTCAGGTGGGGCACTGATACTCCTCCCTGTTCCTACAATCATGGTGTTTTTTATACTTGCTTTTAAACATCCTTGACATTAAATGTATTCTTTCTGTAGTCCTACAGGCAGAAAAGAAAGCTTGCGTTTTATTTAAACATATAAGGGGCAGTCAAAATAGAAAGCAAGTTTTGATATTATATTTTATGTGAATGTAACAAAATTGAACTTTGCTAATTTCCATAATTCCAATTTTTCTAGAATCAAATACAGATTTGAAGGTTACCAAGCAAACCATTAATTTTGGGTGTCTAAACACCCACTGCTATACGGTACTCCTTTGTGGACATCTGGACCCATAGGTAGTTCTTCTCTAGTAATCTGTTACTCTGTCAGCTTTGAAAAGTTACTAGGGACTAGGTCTGTGGAGAAGAGTACTTGAAGTTGCAATTTCTGTCAGTTCCTGGTTCCTATAACAACTTTGAACCCATTGACTGGAGCACTGTCAAGGTTGAGGATGAGTTGATATTTGCTCCTCATAGACTTCTCTTGTGAAAAAAGTATCAAGGTCTCATAGGATGGAAGATGATGTAACATTCCACATTGCTTTTGTTCTCATTTTTACCCCACCTCATTTTTTCCTGGCTTTTATCTAACTGATAACTTGCATTATATTGTCTTATCAACAAGAATGTGGTCTTTGCACATATATTTTTCACATTTTTTAGTTTTAAAAGGCTCTGAAGCAAAAATGATCTTTCAGCTGTGGTGACAATAGGTGCACATGAATGCTTTTCTTAGTTATTCATGTTGACTAGGATACTTTACGCTTTACAGAATCTGTGGAATAACTTGTAATTGGGGTTAAGGTAAAGTTCCTGGGATTTCTTGATGGTGTTTTACAGTGTTGGCTGTTGTCAAGTTGAAATAGGGCTGGTGCTTCATTTTCCTTATACCATGTACCTTATACCTTATACACTCTTTAGAACTGAATTTGCAGTTCATTTGACCTCTGTCTTTTGGCATATCGAGTTTATGGATAGGAGAAGTAATAGAGTTGCATGTGTTTTTTGAGGCCTTGTGAAATGCTGCTGAGTAGCTTTGAGTTATAGCCTAGTTGGTTTGAAGGTTGTTGAATTTGCATTTATTCCAGTTAATTTCCTTTCAGGACCAAGTTTTACTCTCTTTTTTTTCAGAATATATCTTACTTCAGCAAGCCCCCTTTCTTTCTAAAGCAAATGAGACTCCTGATAATTACATACATGTGCATGTATCAGTATGAAACTAGCCAACATTTGTGGGTTTCAAGTTTTACTACATTTTCACTGCAGCTCAGAACTATGAAAAACTCAACACAATAATTTTTCAAAGAAAAATTAACTAAAAGAAATGGATTATAAAATTAGTTTTAAATTTGGAAACTGTACCGGACAGCATAGAGTGAGGTGGATGAGATTGTTCTTCCTTTGTCATAACTACCAGCCATCTCTGCATTCTATATTTAGTCATCTTGTATTTTCATCTCTTCTAACTTTCATCGTATATTCCCATTTATTTTGCCTGCTCAAGCTTTTATAATGTATTCAAGAGGAGACTTGATACTGAAGTGGGCTTTCTCAAACTTGATTTTTAATTGGAATTTTCTGAGAAAGGAAGCCATCATTAGTCCCTGTCCCATCTGTCCAGCTGTCTCATAGCACTTTCAATGCTTGACATTGTTGAAATGAAGATGAGGGTATTAAAAAATTTTCAGTAAGTTTAGTGCACTGCAAGCATCTGCTTGCATGATTTTTTTCTGTGGTTTTTCCTTGAAAGATTTTTTTCCATCTGTTTCATACCCAAATCCTCATTCTTCTTTGATTTCTAAAGTGCTATAATGCCATCAGCACCATTGCCTTCAGTATGTTTAGTATTCCCTGCTTCCACTTTGAAGTGAATGTTTCAATATTAGATCTGAATCAGAGGTTTCTGTACTTGTTTAAATTTGGTTTTTCTAGCTTTGAGGAAGCTCTAACTAATAGGGTTAAATTTAGTACTGGTATTTTATTGTGTACAGTACCTTTTCAGAGCTCCCATAGTCTTGGTGTTTTTATATCTGTAAGTTGTCTGACAATATGAAATGTATTTATTTATGGAAAAGTCAGCCTTCTATGGGCTGAGCAGCATTTCTTCATTTTGAGGCATTGTGTGCATTCAGAACTGATGCTCAAGCTTTGCGAGTGTATAGGGGCCTATTGCAATGTTGAAATCATCCTAAGTCACATATTGCCTATTCTGTACAATATTATAGTAGTAGTCTTATTTCATATTCAGTGTAATTTCATGATTATGATGAATATGACTTATCTTGAATGTTACCATTGTGCAATATAAGAACTTTGCAATGCCTTCATTTTCTTTTCTACTTAGGTGGAGCAATTAGCATAGAGCACTTGGGCCTGCGCTACCCCCTTCGGAACCGCCTAAAGCTGCTAAAGAAACAATCCAGTGTCTCCCCGCATTCGGCGGGCAAGGAGGGGAGTAAGATCCCGGTGCCAATCAAAAAGCGCCGTGTGGACACAGGTGAAGAGTGTTCAAACCCTGAGGAGCCTCAGACTACTGCATCGTCATCCTCAGACAGTGCCCTTGAGCAACTTCCACCCCTTATTCGCAAGAAACCCATTGCTGTTCCCATCAAAAAGCGACAGGAATTGAGACAGTCCTCAGCTCCTGGTATGTTCTCATCCAGGTCTTGCAGAATTTTTTATTTTTAAAACACTGCATCATTCAAAGTTTTGTCACAAAGTAACCCTATCAACTGCAGGGTGGATTTGGCACTCCTAACTGACTGGTTACTCTATGTGTGAGTCTATGTCAGAATCAGAACGACTGAATTTTTATGAATTATTGTACATGTTGTTTCAGAAAAGCCACATAAGCATCCAACAAGAAAACAAGAGTTTCCTGAAATGGACCAATACTTATTTGCTTCAGATATTTTTGAATATAAATGCTTCCTTTCTTCATGAATTTTACAAATTAAATGTGTCTTTGCTCTACATCCTTTGCCAGTGTCAACCAATGTTTCCCTGTTCCTCTGGAGCATTGACAGTGAACCTGCAATACACTCGGCCACTACTTCTGGCAAATAATGAAATATTGAAAAAATTATTATTAATATGGAGAGTAGATAGCTATTAGGAAAACCTATTTGAAACAGAACCTTGAAAACATGGAAACCTGTTTAATTTGGAATATTTGTATGGTTTGTAAGTTTCCATTTTAGTCAGATTTTATTATACTACCCCTTAAAAATTCCTTAAACTACTTTCCATGATGACTCCCTGCTTCTCTCTTTGTCCCTTACACCAATACACCCCTATCTCCCCACCCTAAGCAAAATAATTCTTAATTCCTAGGGGCATCTCGGCATTAAGACTAGCACTTAAGTTCCTGAAGTTTGATTTTATGGCCTATGGAATCAAAAAAGTTTGTTATCACTGCTATAGAGAAAGATGGAAGTAAATTTATCATCATTCATGTATAGGATTTGGGAGCACATCTTTTCAGTGATCTTTGGAAAGAAGTTGCTGATGTTTGATTCAAAATTCAATTTTGGGCATTGGAAATATAAGCCAGGTCATTGATCCAGTATGTGAAAATGAGGTGATTGGTAATCCTATTAGAGATCCCTATAGCATGAAGGACTTGTCAAACTGTATATTTGCTAAATCCCTGACCAAATGCTTGTAATGTAACTATATCTTTACTTGAAAATCCTCCAATAGTTTTCTTGAAACTGAGAAAATAATTTTTAAAGTCAGAATTTGAAAGGATTTTCCTTTGAGGGAACATTGGGTTGGTATCTTTGTATTCTTTACACCCTAGAGGATGAATATGGAGCTCAGATTTAACTTTGGAGAAAAATTAAATAGTGAGTTATTGGATTCATGAAAAGTATCAGCTGATGGTTCTTGAATGTCTTGCAGAGTAGCACTGAGAATGAAATGTTCTAAGTTTGACTTGTCACAAAAATTACCATTGTGGATTTGATTTATCTGGATTTCTACCTCTCTTTGTGAACTAGTGTCTCCCAAATTTATAGTTAAGAGCACCAATTAGTTTGTATTACATCAGGATTGCTTGACTGCCTTTTCCTGAAAGTCTGTACAAAGACTGCAAAGATGCATATAGAAATTTCAGTGAATTCATAGTAGCTGAGCTTTCCATTCTTGTGCTATGCTGAATGGAAGTCAGTTGGAAGATCAGTGGATGATCAGGAATTCCCTGTGCTCTGTTACAGATTTAGGGACTGGAATAGCTGCTAGACGTACTCTTGAAACACCTTCCAGGCGTCCCTCAGAAACCTCAGCCAGGAATACAGGTCTGTATCATTATTCTGCTTTCCATTCTTGTTCAATATATTTGGTGAGATATTAGTAATGACTCACACATTAAGGCATTATAACTTTGGAATGGTTACATATATCTTCATCGAACTACATCGGTTAGGTAACCATATACATTGGCAACATGTTTACCACTCATAAAACAACATGGGGGGTATACGGCTATCTCTTGTGAAAAGAGTTATGTGGGTCAGGTTATCTTCCATAAATGATACTGTCACACCAGAAACACGCACACATTGTAACAGGAATTCAGGGTACCAGTGCCTTCATGGAAGACTATCATGCATCTGAACAAAATGTTTGACAAAACAGCAAAACAGTGAGAGTGCTAGACAGTAAACACTCCGGTGGTCCAGAATACCTACTCTGGAACACTGAAAAAAGTGACACATGTTGCTGAATCAAATGGCCCTGCAATTGCCAACCAAGCACTGTCGGATTTCTTTCTGTGAGAGTACTTTTAGAGAAAGTTCATCTCCATTGCATTCTCAACCTCAACAAACTGCAGGATGTGCAAGGCCTAGGCCCGAACAAAAAGAGGATTTCAAAGTTCAGTTCAACTCATGGCCTCTATGAACAGGACCTTCCCACCTAAAATTAAATGCTCGCCGATCACGACTTTTTCGAATCTACGGGAAACTTGAACAAATGGGGCCCATTTCTGCTCCTGTTTGAGGAGTTAGGGACCGAACACACTGGCATCTCAATGCAAAGTAGGAGGAACGGGACCCTCAGCATGGACTAAAGATGGTTCCATCACAGCTTATCATTGTGCCTATGGGTCGTCCTTACCTGAGAGCTAGAGCGTCTTCGATTTACCTTGATTTCGCGGGTGTGGTCGTCTCTTGTATTTGTTCTGGGCACTATGGGGTTGATTTGTGAACGAAGCATGTTCTTTCTGCGTATTCGTATCTGGATGATAACTCTTTTGATTGCATTGACATCCCCTATGAATTCATTTCATTTTTTTTAAATCAGTAGAGTAGTTCAGTCTGCGAGCATTCTGGGTCGTTTCATGAAATGGTGCCAATTTCTCTTTCTTTCTTTGAGATATATCTTTGTTCATAACTTTTATAAGCCGTTACATGAAGTACGGTTGGTCGAGTTGGCAGCAGTGATTCACGGAACATGAATTTGCATCTTTCATTTCTGGCATTGGCCAGGCATGAATACTTATGCATACTCATCCAGCAATAAATTTTCATAATTAGCTTGATATACGAGGGTTAATCGAAAAGTAATTGCGACACTGCCACGCATGAACTAGACGAGTGCCAGAACTATATTAGACTTGAAATGACAATGGCTTAACCATAAGGTACAACAAATTTCAACTTTCTTACTGCTGTCATTTCCTTTTGAGACTCCATTGAGGAGAGGTCGCTTCTGACTTGTGGGTTAAAAAGAAATATTTGTTTTTAAAAGAAGGCTGGAGTTCCTCTTTTTTACGACTTCAAGCTTGGAGAGAACACATGTTATAATCACGACGATTTCCTTATGGTTGGATGGTCTCTTAATTCTCCTTGATTTAGGATATAATACTTGACGAATCCTGCAGGAGTTTCGATGGGGCGGTCGAGGAAAGATGGTTCTAAGGGATCGTCCCGTCCGCTACTCCACCGATACTTTTTTTTTTTTAGAATGGTGTATTAGGTACCATGCTGTGGTTGGCAATGTGTGAATCTATAGGCGGGTTCCATGCTTGAGCAGCAGTACCCTCATGAATTAATTCAAGGTTGTCATTTTTATTTAAGAGCTTATTTCAAATGGATGATTCATTAGAGAATTCACTTACAGAAAGGATTTTTACTGGAATAACTCGGCATGGGTCAATGAAGATTCTTCTCCGATGCTTTCGTACTTGAAGAGGCATGCACTCTTGGAGAAAGGCGAGCTCTAACTCCAGTTTCCCTTCATTTTGCTGAATTTTTCCTCCATAGAACAAAGAGAAGAGCAAAAAGAAAAAAGGTTGCTTTCCCTTTTTCAATCAAAAAGGAAGGGAAACTGGAGTTAGCGCTCGCTCGTTTTTAAGAGTGTACTGTTAAGTTGTAAAGGAATGCTGTCACCTCAAATATTGCGGAATTTCCGCCGGTACTCCCCTTGTCTTTTCCCCTGCGACGAAAAACTACTTCTGGGACGAAGTTGCGAGGTTACGTGGCCCTACAGAGGCACCCGTTCATCCCTCGGGTCACATCCATTTCATGACGTTGCATTCAAAGTCAGCACTTGGATCATTTGGATTAGATTTTTAATTTTACATTTTTGGAATCTGCGCAGAAAAGGAGTTGAGTCATTCAATGACTGAGAGAAGCCGATAGCTGACTCTGTTCCTCTTTCTTGTGTTATCGTGTAAAAGTGGGTACCGCGGTGATTGCGCAAGGAACCGGGGGAGGAGAAAGTTCTGTCTTCTATCCAGACAGGATCCGAATAGGCTAAGAAAGGAAGAAGGGGCTCACATGGGTTGAACAAAGGGAAGGGGAAGAGAAGAAAAATCAGCTGACGAGGTATGGGGGATGAATGCGCATGATCCATTTCCTCTCTCTCTCTCTCTCTCTCTCTTTCCCCCCCTTCCGAAGGTCAGCCTGTATCACCCAACTTCACTTTTTTCTTCCCGTTCTCTCCCATGCCAGGGACTTTAATGGTTGTAGAGACCTCGTCGGTTACCGTTTATAAGTCATACGAATGTTCTTGATCGGACCTCGTGAAATTTGAAAGCGTTGGAGGAGATCTTCTTTTGTGATTTTTGGACTTGATGGACTCCACATGGAAATTGTGGGATTCACTCCACAGAGGACATTTGCGTATTGAACTGTAACTTTTTTTTATTATCAAAAAGTATTGCAGTTGTAGAAAAATTCGAAAATCATGCGTCGAATTCCGTGCATTAACATAACTAGAAGGCAAAGACAGATCCAAGTGGAAGTGAAAGAGGAAATGGGATTTGTTACACTCATTGTTCATGCCCTCAGTAATGTGAGAAAATCTGGTTTCTTTGCAAAGCCCGTCATATTACGTAGTGTGCTAGTGAGTCATACACTAATACTGGCCAATATGTACACTCTTCGTGTACTTAGTATGTCCACGCATTGTCAATCAGTGCTGCGTACAGTATACCAGTCTGTTTCAATGTGGTCAGGGAGCATTCACACTGGTGTCAAAATCAGATCCCTCTGTGAAGTGTCTTCGATGATGGGTTTTTCTTTCTATTTTTTTTTTACCATTGTTTTCGACGAATGGCTTTTACTTCGGTATTGCTTTCCCCAAATGATGGAAAATGCAAGGAAGTAGTAGCTAATCCGTGCAGGTCTCTACCACCGAGGCACGAGGAGCGAGCACCCGCGTGCACAGGCATGCACACACATGCACACCCATTCACACCCATTCACAGTCATCCACTAGACATCTGCTGTGTAGCAACCAACGAGGATCGTGAGGGAGGAAAGAAGGCAGGAGGGAGTGGAGGCTTTATACAACGAACGGACTGTAGGCGCTTTATCAGTCCTCTGTCTCTAGCGGTGAATCATAGGATGTTAGTTGGAAAGGTGACTCTCTCATGGTGACTATCAGTGAATCGCCCTGGCGGGGGTGGAGGCAAGTCTTCCTCTCGAACATGGCCGCTCCCTGATCCTCTCTTCTCACAAGGTCTGTATATCAATGAAACACCTGGGCCGAGGCTTTGTAAAGAATCTTCCTCTTTGTCAAGAGAGGATCGAAGAAAACGCCTCTTTACGAATAAAGCATTCACCGAACGATCAAATTTTGTGAAGAATTAGCTGTGATCGCAACGAAATATTATTCTATGGTGACTCCTTTAAATTACTACCCTTAGGTAGAAGGGAATGAAGGAAAATAGACGAGATGCATAAATGTCCCCGTGCTTAAGTCGTTTGCTACGAGAAGCTGTATCCGTTAATCGTTGGTTAAATGGAATGTTTATTCATTTCGGCAAATTGAGAAGGGAAAGTTTTTAAAAGGGGATAGGAGAACACGTTTTTGAGTTGTTGCTCGACCTCGAGAGCCGGAATCGTGCGGAATGTCCACGGGGGAGAACTGGGGACACCCCTTGACCTTGGTCCCATGCATCAGTATTCCCCCCCCCTCGGGTCACATCCATTTCATGACGTTGCATTCAAAGTCAGCACTTGGATCATTTGGATTAGATTTTTAATTTTACATACCCCAGCACCAGTATTCCCCCCCCCCCCCCCCAAAAAAAAAAGAGCATAAAATTGGGCATGTCCTCAAGGGGCAGGACTGGGATCGATTCAGGTTCGATGACCTGGCCCCACCCACTCTAGGTCGGCCTTTGAAGAATCCATTCCTCGGTCCCTTCCCCCTGCATGCATTCCTCTACCTTCCCACATGGTCACTTCCCCCCCCCCCCCCCACCATCAGTCATTGCTAATGTGTTAATTTTTCTTGTGTATCCAAAAACATATTCCGAGTTTCATATCTTTCATTTCAGTGATAGTGAGATGAGGAGTAAATTTGGGGATGAAGGGGAGCGAATAAGTTTGTTCCCAATGACCGTGGGAATGTGGGGCAGGAAAGCCAGAGGGATATATACTGTACTTTCCCTTCTCCATTATAAAGGCAGAGTGGAGACGCAATAACCCTCCTATGTCCACAACCCCTGGTCGTTAACTGCCTCCACGCAAGAGCATAAACCCTATTGGAAATTTGAAAAAACTTTCGTTAATCCAGTCCTTGAAATAACCTTGACCTCTATTGCTGTGGGAAGAGAAATAAAAGAAAGGAGTACGCTGTATAGAAACGGGTGATGCGTGTCTTAGAGCCCCCCAGCTAGTACTTGTATTGCTACTGGGTCAGGCTGTGGTTTAGTGGGCACCGAGTGGCTCTCTACTCCGATCGAGACACGGTTTCTTCCATCAACCATTTCCCATTCTCTTTCTGCTTCACTTATCGTCTCTCAATACTGAAATCACAGAGGATGGACATTTTTATTATTCCTTCGTTCTACTTGTTTAGCGTTCCCTAGGAAGGATGTTGCAGGCTTCGTGGGATTTCCCCGTAGCAGTCGTAAATATTTCCCATTTATTCCTGCTTCCCTCATCGTCTTAATTTTTCACCCCACGCTGTGTGCGGAGTTTATTTTCTTACCGCATTGAAGTGTAATTTTCATATTGCATTTTTTAAGAATTAAGTAAAAGCATGTTTTCTTGTCCATTCCATTTTGTGGAATAGTAAGAACCCCTCCACCATTTGTCGTTATCCCTGGTTGTGAGCCAATGTTCGGCAATATCTTGGCGTCATCCCAGCTGGTCTATATCCCTCTCACTCTTCCCGCTTTCCCCCCTTGTGCGTGCGAGGACATTCCGTTAGCATTTATGAAACGATCATGCCTGTCATAACCGTCTCTATGAACCCCCGAAGTAATTATGCTGGTGTTGACAGGCTCAAGTGTTTTGTAAGTTGTGTCATTCTTGAACAGGCGGATCCATTACTTCATCCTTCTCAAGACTGGACTTTTGAGGCCTGATTGGTGACTATTCTCTTTTAATGACACGACAAATGTAATGTTAGCTATTTCTGGTAATATAATTACGATTCAAGTGAAATCCCTTGAAGGCTCTTTTTTTTTGGGGGGGGGGGGGGGGGGGTTGGTTGGATGTGCTCTTTCATAGTGTGTGACGATAGCAGGCGCATTATCGGTCCTATCATGGCGCTATCCTCTGTCTGATTTGATAAGGGCGTTTTGTGTCAACACATAGGTCGTTGCGATGTTCTCAATGTCAACCCTCGCTCCCATTCCATTTCCAAGTCTGCCCCTTAGATCCGGACAGCACCACATCAGTTTATTCTCTCTTTGATTGGTCAGTGATCTCTGGTTTCTGTCGAGTATTCATTCTCGCTCCCTCAGCGTGGATCGAGTTGGGAAAGTGAGCTCGTCCTGGGTAGCAAGCGTGACGCCATTCGAGGAAAAAATGTGCAACTCTGGAAAGGCGGGATGAAGTGGGGGGGGGGGGGACGGTTCGAAGAATTTCATGTCTTGTTAATTCCCCCCTTGGTTCTGTCATTATGTCAATCACACGGACACAAGATGGAGGAAGATTACCTCGTCCTTTTTTTTTCATCTATCCAGAGAAGTATTTTGGCCAGGGGCCAGATGATCTGTTGGGGGTCACTCGGAGAGGACCACGCGGTGCCACGGAACCTTCCCATAATCTCTGTGGAGCTATGCCAGGAAGCTGGCACTTTTCCGACATATTATCTGAAAATTCGCTCTCCTGCACGCCCTTGGTTTTTCTCTAGGTTTTTCCTCTTTCTTGTCGTCGGCTTCGGTATTTCCCACAAGCGTTGTCACTTTTCCGTAGCCTGCGGATCACGATCCACCCAGCTTAGGTTTTAAAAAAAGAACTTGGGAATAAATTTCTCGTCGCAGTTAAAAAGCAAGAACATGATATCTAATCTGTGAATAAAATCCCCACAGTTTGAGTAGTTTCCTTGAGATTTCAAAATGCAATTTCTTGCGCGAAGATGTTACGTGCAACGCCGATTTACCAGCTGAGGCAGCTACTCGAGTTGGGGCGACAGCAAGAATTTCAGGAGTCCGTTGGCTGTCGACGGGGACGCTCTGCTTTCTGATTTCTTGGAATAGTTATAAATAGGATATAGCTCAGACATCTCGGCTCTTCCAAACGAAACGTCTTAGAATTACACAAAAGCAAGGAGAACAAATTTGGTGTTTGAAGCTTCCCACCATCCAACTTCGCCGTGCAATTTGGTAACCAGTTTAGATTCTAAAACTGCAAATGAAAAATTGAAGCGCCAAAGTTCCCGTCGAGATTTTTTGTTAGTTATTTGTACATTTTGTGCATTGAATAAAAAAAATTTGGAGGGAGGTTTAATTTATTTTCTTGGCTTCGCTTTTGGATGAGTGTTAAATCTAGAAAGCTAAAGAAAGGAATGGGTTCATTTTCCACCGCTGTCTCCGTTTCTATTGAATGTTGGCAGTAATGTTGATGTTGTGTTAGAGTGTATTTGTAGTAATGTTAGTGTCAACTCTTGACCTTGTAGGAGTGGAGACGCGTGGGAGTTTGCGGAGAAGTGGAGTCGGGACTTCACATTCCTCCACCACGGGGTCCTGTGCCAGCTCCAGGTATCGTTTATTTTTTTTTTGCTTTACACTCCTATAAGATTTATATACAGGGTGGGCAAAGAAACCACAAACAAGCTTCTTCAATATTTTGTCCTGGAGAAAAGAGAACTAGAATCTTCTGAATACCAATGTATCTGAATACTCCAGTTCCCTGGCAATGTCAGTGACAAGAAATGTTACGTAGGACTTCCATTATTTTTACTACGGCTGCCAATGGTGACTGCAGATTTTGAAGCGAGTCTTCCTGCGAACTGTTTCTATCTAGAGTGCCTCCTTTACTGCTTAGGAGCGAATCAAGGCTGTTCAGTCTTCACATTTCAGGTTATATCAGGTCTGGTACATTCTGATGGGAAACAGCGACAGGTGAAATTTATAGCATGCGGCATGCTGCTGGAAAAGTCAATTGTCTGGGAAGACGCCAGAAGCTATTAGAGGGCCGGAATTGCGGCCATGGGACAAGTCTCGTTTGATTTCGTAGATTTTGGAAACTGCAAGAAAAAAAGTACAGGCATGCCGACTTTCAGAATATATCTGGGATGTGCTAGCAAAGATGATTATCATTAGAGTGTCATCTTTAAGTTATTTATTCGTATGACAATTGGTAGACGACGATCACATTTGCGAGCTGCTACTCTAAATTGTGGAAGCCATTTTGAATTGTTTTCAATGACTTTGACGAGGAGTTGGTGTCTTCATATCCACTTCATCACTCCATCACCACTAACACTGAATAAATTATGGAAATTGCCTTGATTATATTCGTTGTCAACTCTGTATGAATGGTAAATAATCGGCAATTACGGTAAATTATTACTCAACTGCTGGTGAACTTGGAAGGTGTATCTGTTTTTAAGATGTTGATATTTATTATAAAATCATGTTATTTCCTTCAGTGTAGGTCGAATGCGATTGCACTTACATGACGCAGTTACATGGTCTGTTGCTGTGAGCAACAGTTGCATGAAATATGAAGGCTGAAGGTTGAACTAAAATGGTGAGAAAGTGATGATGCAAGAAAGTGAAACATGACTGTCATTGCCTGGGACGCTATCATCAGGCGTTTTGCTGCAAATTTCACTTTCGGCCTTCGGAAGGCGATCGTTCTTCGTATAGATCCAACTTTCTCCTTCATCGCCCTTTTCTTATATTGATTGATGGAAAGGGGAATGGAGTCTTTCTTCATTTCTCTTTCTGCGGAATATCCCCGATTGAATGAGTGGGGCTATTTTCACAATAGGGTCAGGTCAGCCGTGCTCTATTGACGTCACAATGGGCTATTAGTACGACTACGTTAGCGGAGGGGAGAGAAAAAAAGGAGCCACCAAGCCGCGGTTGTGCCTTTAAGTGTGAGTACGGCCTTTACGTGACCAAAACACACATTACGGGGGTAACTTGACACTTGGAATTGTGTAAATGCAGTTAAGAGGTCAACTTTGAGTAACTTGACTGACGGAGCGCCTGGGAGCGATATGACGGCTCGCAGATAGTGGCAGCCTACGATCTTGGTCTAATAATACGTGGAGCTTGGGAATTCCATGGTGGGGGAGGGGAGGGGGGGGTGTCTTACGATAGGGCTGTATCTCCCATCCCAATCACTGCATTCACAAGCATGTGATGAAGTTCGTGAATTCTTACCTTACCTACCCAGGTGAAGGGGCTGGTCATCCCTCCCTATAAAAGTTTTTTTTTTATATAGGTCAGAATCATGTGATATGCCCAAAAGTTCGCAGTTGTTTCCCCCCCCAGCCGTTTATTATTAATATAATACATTTTCACCCCGAGCAAGAATGCTATTTCTTGAGAAACTTGCAAAATTATGCCAAAAAAATGCTTGAGAGCTTCATCCCCCCCATTCTGCGCCTCAACTCCCCCTATGAATGTAATTGTGTGGTTTTGACGTGAATTTAGCGAGGAAAAAAATATTGAGATTTAGAAGCAATCCTTGATACACGGGCCTATATGTAGGCATCTGACAGGAGGTTCTCTTCATAACCGCTTTGCCAATGGGCAAGGACAAAAATGATGCCAGAAGATGAAAAATGACGCGTAACAGTAACTTGGAAGTGATGGTTCTCTACAATCTCTTGAGGTTTTCTTTGTTGTGGTGGTGGGGGTGGGGGGCGTAGAGTGACAGACGTGCATGACGCTGAATGCAGTCCAAAAATCACAGAACTTCAGGCAGCTAGCCAAGAAATACCACGGGCTACGGACGCGCCCACAAAAAAGTCAAGGACTCTGATGTGAAAATAGGGGCCAGTCTATGACAATTTTTTTTTTATCTGGCAAACGTTGACCTTAGTGCGTCACAATCACCAGATTGTGAGTGAAAGTCCAGTAACTATGGCATTATATTCTTCGTCAAAAAGTGACCCTCAAGGAGTTTGGCTGGAGATACAAGGAATTAGACACAGGACTGGTAATGGTCATAGAAAGCACAGGGGGATATGACGCATTTTCATCCGCCCGATGGAATGAATGACTGGAGAGCATTGCGGATAACATTTCAACCGATTCTGTTTACTCGAATCGAACAGGATGTAATGAAGTGCATGAATGTTTCAAGGTCGTTAAATGATTCGTAACTCTGAGAAGTCGTCAAACGCGCAAGTGTATGGTGGTGAGGCCCACTTTTTCCTATTAATTTCAACTTGGACTGGTGGTAACGAATAGGCAACCGGCAGGAGTGAACCCCATGCAAGTGGGCGTTTTGCAAGGTTTCTTTTCAGTCATTGAACGACCCGGAAACTTTGATCGAGTTCATTATGGTCTACTACGAGGTCCTGTACCAAATATGGTACATTTGTAGCTCAACTCTTTTCTGAAGTTGCTTGTTCAATCTGAATGCCAGTTTAGATTTTCTTGGTTTACCTTGGGAGATCGTTATCAATAACACAATTTGTGCGAGGTTTGAGTTCAAATGGGGCTAAGGTGCATTGAAAAATGCTGCCACTGCTTGCCAGTTTCAAAGTTCCGGGGCGTCGTAATCATTTCACTCTTTAAATTCTTAGCCGTTTTCGTCTGTGATAAGTGTCGAGGTTATTTTCATCTATAGAAGTCATATTGCTAGTTTTATCATGACTACTAATCGATGAGAAATTTGTATCAGGTTAATTATGGAGTAATTGATAAAACGATCAATTAATTCAGTTTTATTCTCTCCGTTTCCTTTCTGATTCTGGCGAAGGAAACAATTTGTCAATTAGGTGGAAGAAGGATTGTCATCTGATACAATATCATCCTCCAATGACATTGCATCATGCTTTTTGTAATGGAATGACGTGAGAATAATGTAGATGCTACTTACCGCTCGATGCTGTCCAATCGATCTTTGGCTTTATTCGTATTTTTTAAATATTTATTTTACTTCTCTGGGGTGTCGAGGTTGAAAGAAATATCCAACATGCATTCCAGGTAGGATTCATCAGAGCAGTAAATTTGGTAACGAATCGAATTGGCTGCTTGAGCTCTTTATCTGTAATATTCTTTTTTTAAAATTATGCTTCATCAGTTGATATTTCTGTAGCATCCTTCCTTAATTGTAATGCCTTATCACATGGCGCAACCAGTGCTACTATGGCCGCATGGCGATTTCTTGCGAAGACCAAGTGAAATGATTCCGATGTTTTCTCAATTCTAATGACGTTGGAAAGAGTCACGTATATAACGAACGAGGGCGATGGATCCTATAAAGAATTCTCGTGTGACCACTGGGGTCATTGCTGCCTGAGACAGGCATGCGCACATGTGAGGGTGAAGGCCTGCTGGAGCCCACCACGGGAAATCCGCTTCCAACTGACACGCGCACAACCTTCCCGTAGTTCCGCTTCCAGTCTCGGTGCCAGGCGTGCGAACTAGTAGATTCCTCCGGGGGTATTTCACTCCCAACATGACGCGCGTTATGCTGTCTCACTTCCAGTGCCAGGCATGTAAGAATACGTGAAGGGGCGTGCCTGCTAGAGTCATCTGCGGGTATATCTTAACGAAATCGGGAACCGGATCCCGTGACGCGTCTGCAAAGATTAGACCTCTTATTATGGGTTAAGAAGTCTGGAATAGAGTTCGTCTGTTTGTTACGTGGAAATGAAGCCGAATGCAAAATATATTTTCTGAATAATCGGATGAGGACTTTCCAAGGGCAAACCTGAGACTTTTAAGTAATTCAGTTGCTAGACGTTTCCATCTCAGCGCACTGAGCGCTGACCAGGAATTGGAAAATGTTAATGAGGAAGCAGTATGGCTATATTTTGTGCCACGAATCACTTTGGAGGCGGTTGCGACGAATATAAGTCGTTCCTTCCTCAGATCTTTCAAAGTTTTGCTTAAAGCGCGAGAGACCTTGGAAGCTTTCCAAGCCATCCCCACGAACCTGTTTCCCAGATTTAATGTGGAGCTGTACTGGAGAATGGTAAGACCTCGGTATCCTGAGAGCTCGCCTCAGAAAGGCCTCTCACTATGAAAAGCGATAAGAATTTGATGACACCAGTCATTGCGCCTTGGATGCTCGCGTGTGGAAGCCAGCATCTCGTATAGAGGAATGGTTTACTGTTTTACGTTTTTATATCCAGCAGCTGTTCATCCACGACTGATGCAGCTGGGTTTAAAAACTTTTAATTGATTTAGGTCTGCCTCAGCGGGAGAGTTTCACATGTTTCTTTCGTTACGAGAGTACGCCAACAGATATTCGTGCCATAAGAGAACTCCATCCATGAAACAAAGGACCCTCATGAAAGTAGCTTCCGCCATGGTGCGTCACTCAGTTCGCAATGTTTATTCCTTGGCAATGTTTATTCCCTAGTCAAAGGGCACCAGCAATGGAGTACCATGCCCCGATAGAGGTCCTGTCCTGAAACGTAACATATTCGTAATATCTACTGGGGACATCCACAACCACTAACATCATGCGTAGACAAGGACAGTGACTCTGACAATATATTATGCAGACCTGAACAGATATTAGTCAACCGAAAAAAAGAACACGAACACCGCAGAGAGAGAGAGAG